GGGAATACCTTTACCTTTAAAACCTGGGGCACATAACAAAGGATCTAAAGGAGCACAATGCCAAAGAACTTACAAAATTCCAGCAGGCATAACTGTGTTCATGCTAAAGGCTGGAAGGATAAGAGAGTAGAGAGGGGTCAGGTTTACACTCTTGCCTTTCACCAGGGGATGGTTATTTTTTAAATAAGAGTTGAAGTACTTTATTTACATTGACCCATGGTTTCAGTAGCTTTTGGGATAAATTTTTTGACTAAAATTTCAAGACTTATACATGAGTATATACACCGTATGTTGCAGGTACTTCATTTTTGTAGACTATTTCTAGCTGCCACAGCCAGCTGTAAGACAGAGATTTCCCTTAACCTCTTATCATCTTTTGTAATTTTAATTGCCACCTAGCAATTCTGTCTTCCTACAGCTAGTAGAACCTGTTGTTCTGAATGTCCGGGTGGAGCCCTGGAAGGACAATAGGCCAACCAATAAACAAAATCATATGTTGAAGGCACACAGGCACATGTTAAAACTAATTAACAGATCTTAGGAGCTCACTGACTGGGAGGAGCAGTATGCTGAAAGATTGCTTGGGTCCTGAGCTGATCTCTGGCCTTGAGCGTCACTGTTGTTCATTGCCTTCCAGTGCCTCAGTTGAGTAAGCCGCCCAGATTGGGTCCCCAAGGGGTAGGATATAAATAAATATTATTATTATTATTATTATTATTATTATTATTATTATTATTATTAGTGTGCAAGTCCAACACGAGGTTTTGTGGTTTATGGCCCAATGAGTCACACATGCAGCTGAATGAGTCACACATGCCTTAGTGGGTGAGATTTATGGAAAGGGTGGGATCAGGACCAGATACAGTTGACAATCCTACAAGAATGTAGTCACTAAATTTAGCTATTCGAGTATCATACCATTAGTCTCAGATCCTATTTAAAAACTACGCACATCCATCTGTCGTATGCATGATAAAAATACAGAGCAATGAATAATTCTTTATGTTACTTACACGTGACTAGTTGTTTAGGGGCACTGGATGAGCGATGCATGTGAAAATGACACAAGGGATATTTTTTCAAAGAATCCTATTAAGAAATATTTTAGAGGTGGGTCAGATGTTACGACCAAAACTAGAATTTGATGAGACTACAGAGGTCTCTTAACATGCTAAGTTTCAAAAGTTAATAAATTCTCCAGTGATTTTTCTTCACTATTTTCGATTTAACTGAAAACATAATTGAGTATTCCTTATGGAATGTTCTTCTTTCACAAGCAGCTGTAGACACAACCAGTTTGGATCATGGTTTTGTGGAAGAACCTAATTCCATCCCATCCCCACCCACCACTTTGTTGCTCCATCCATATTTCTGCCACTTGGGTCCTGTGTCAGGAGAAAGGTTGGAAATAAGTTGAACACACAAATTCTGTAAATAAATAAATAAATAGTGGGGCTATCAGCTTCAGAAAGAAAAGCAAATGAATGGCTGCAATTTTTGGGACTCTACAGCTAAAAGCATCTCTGGGAGAAGGGCTGGATCAAGTCCATAACATGCTTCTCTTTGTGCTGTAACCCTGTGGCTGTTTCTAAAGTAGAACATTGTCTTGTGAAATCCTGTCATGGGTTTTCCACATAAGGTGTAGTCTGGGCCTGATATTTCCATTCACAATCAAAGCCCATCAAATAGATCTGCAGCTATATATAAATAAATACAGTCTGCACGCCTCAACCACAGGTTTACCATCTGTGGATTTGAGCATCTGTGGATGGCGCTGCCTCATTCACCCCAATGGCAGTGAGTGTATGCAGCTGTGCCACCATTAAGATCAACAGGACTTGAGGTCCCATGGTTTTTGATATCTGCAGTGGATCTGGAACAGAACTCCTATAGATACAAAGGGCTGGTTTTAAGGCTTAGTGAAGGTTCTGAATTGTATTTGCTCACTTTATCTTTTCTTGCCTTCCCTTCCTTTCACAATAAAATTCATAGCAGAATAAAAACAAAGAGTTAATTACTTTCAAACACTAATAGCATAAAATAATGAGATGTGTCTGTGATTGGTTTCTGTTGCATATTCTACTTCTTCTACTAGAACATGTCCCCAGGACCAGTCAGGCATGTCATGTTGAAACTAGCCCTTTGTGGGTTGTTTATGGTGTCCCTCCCTATTAGTAATTTCCTAAGGTGCTGATACTCCTTTCAGAAGACTTTCCATACAAGCGTACTAAACACAAACAGCCCTTCAAGTGTTTTCTTGGGAAACCCTAAAGCAGGGGTAGGCAACCTTTCCCCTTTAAGGGCCGAGGGACTTCACCTCCCAGAATCCTAGGAGCTATTGGCCAACATGGGACTATTGGCCAACATGGCTGAGGTTTCTGGGAGCTGGAGTCCCTCGGTCCTTAAAGGAGACAGGTTGCCTACCCCTGTCCTAAAGCTTTCTTCTCCTGTAGCACAGTATCAGGCTACCTGGAATTGCTGTGTAAGGCAATGCAACTAAGCTGGCAGTGCCTGTTAAGTAATCATATCCTCTGTACTCCTGCCATGTTAGAAAGATACCCTAATTGTCCAATGCATGAGATACCCCTGACCCAAACCAGTAGTTTATGAACCTCTTCCTTCTCTGTGGCTTCCACAAAAATACTTAGGTCCAAGATTTCCACTGCTTCCAACCTCAAAACACAAGATCATATCCTTTCTTGATGTCTTCAATTGAAAATCTCTTAAGAGGAGCAACCTTAAGAAGCCAACCATGTTCTCCTCTCCAGAGGATTCCTCTCTCCCCTATGTAGGAATTTACTCCTCCTTTCCATGTTTTCACTGTTTCTCCCTTCTGTGGTTGCCAACTGGCTTAGGTTAATTTTACTGACAACTAGAGGGGGAAAAATGGGAAACAGAAACAGTTGTACAAGAGATGCCAAGGTTTGAATTGGGCTGGGATCCAGTACACAGCTGTTAACTGACCTGCCACAAGTATTCAGCATCCTCATTATCTGCAGTCACTAAGTCTTGCACTCCTTGTCCCACTTCTCTTCGCCGGGCCAATCTCCAAACCAGGGGAAATTCTCTATCAAAGAAACCAAATCTCTGCATGGCACGGGAGAACCATAACTAGCTCTCTTGAAACATTTCCCCAGAATGGTGTGAAGGAAGGAGCCATGGAAGAAAGAAAGGAACAAGACAGAAAGAAACCACCGCAAATTGGAAGCACTGAATTTATGTGAATAATTATTATTACAGTTATGCGAAGCACAAGTAGAACTGGAAGCATTTACTTTTGCAAATTAGGAAGTGCTGACAAAGACAATACAATTTGTTCAGTGTTACAATGAAAGAAATAATTGACCACATCCAATTCAGAACCACATATGCTTAAGCACATGAATGTCAATTGGTGTAAGTGTGCCTCCCTGTTGGACTCCTTTAGCACCTTAAACTAATAAATTCAACTTTCAGTTAATCTTGTGATTACTAACCATTTATACCCTCTTCAACACTCAGGGGAAATATACAGAATTACTAATATTGCTGAAGATATGTTGTTTTGGTCATGAAAAGAAGAGGAAGTCCACAGATGGCCAACATATTAATAGAAACAAAATCTGAGCTAAAATAATACTTGATAGGAAGAAATTGGTTTATTTCTCATGTGTGTGGTGTCGTGTGCCTTCAACTCGTTTCTGACTTATGGCGACCTTAACACAAACCTATCATGGTGTTTTCTTGGCAAGATGTGTTCAGAGGAAGTTTGCTGTTGCAAGGCAAACCAGCAGGCTTCATGGTTGAGCCTGGAATCGAACCCAGGGTCTTTGGAGTTGTAATCCAACAATCTAACCACTATGCCATGCTGGCTCATGCATAAATCATATTGTTCAAAAGGTTTTCTGCCTTCATTTCATCACTGTAATTCCCCACATTATGTTTCTTTATCACACTTGAATAATTTAAAAATGCATGACTTCTAAAAGTAGTTTGGGGGAGAACTAATATTGGGAGGAAAGAATTAATGGCATATAGTCTCAACGAGGGCTTGGTCACTATGAAAAGCTGTAGCTATGCTATAGCATTTGTAGGCTTTATATTTACTACAGAATACCAAGATTATTTTTTTTTTTGGTCATTAAAAAATTGAATTTTACCGCTGCTATGCTTTTGATCCCTCACTACAACAGGGGCACTTAGGAGACACTCTTAAGAGACACTTTCTAGAGACACTGAGGCCATTGGCCAAAGATGTATAGTTGCTCCTTCCCACTTAGAAGTATGGCGCTGGGGAACCTTTGCTAAGTAGCATAAAAAGGGGATGATACAAGCACTGTGGGTCAGGATTCATTCAGGGATGGCAGACCCTACTGAAGGGCCACTCTCTTGTCCAAATGTCATTGGACAACAGGAAAAGGGGACGTGCATTCTTGGTGATGGCACCTAATGTCAGAAATTCATCTGCCAAAACCTGATCCAACATAGTATCTTAATGAAAAAATACAGATTGGTGAAGTACACAAATATTTAATTGAGAAGTGGAATACTTTACTCGGCTTCTTGCACGTTGTTTTTGTTGCAGTTGGCCCTCCATATCCGCAGATTTATTTTTTTTTATCCACAGATTCAGTCACCCACAGCTTGAAAATACTAAATATGTACATGTATAAATTTCAAAAAAATCAAACCTTGATTTTGCCATTTTATATAAAGGATGCCACTTTGCTACACCAATATATATGGGGGGGGATGCATTCATGAGATTCCTCGCGGATATCATCAATGCATCCTTCAGAGAAGGACAT